ATCGTGCCTCATAAATCTGTAGGGCAGGTTAAATTAATTAAAACATATGCAATTAAAAATTCTGCATGTGAGGACAATGTGTGCTAATAATCAAACTCTCTAAGTCCACCTTTTTATACTCTGCTCTGTGATGTTGGGGTGAGGACTCCTTTGGCTGATTTTCTACAAGGTTCTACCTATAGAGGGCACTAGAAGGAGCCTACAAGTCCCAAGGAAGGAAGAAGAGTCTTGTTGCCCCAGCAGCCATCATTTATCTGACAGCAGCAATGGTTCTAGTCTCTAGCTTCTTTTGGAACTCTGAAAACCAGTGTCATTGCACCTCAGAGAAACACCAACATCCACAAAATAGCGATGTTTCCCTGCAAAGGTCCAAAGCCCAGCCCTCCGGGGCCTCCCTATGAGCTTCAGAGGCAAGAGCAACACCAGGCAGTACCCAGAACCAGAGCCCAGCTCTGCAGGCCCACTTCCAAGCTTCTTGGTTCAAATAGCCCTAACCTCTTCTCTTCGTTGTCCAACCCTCAAGCGGGTCACTGCTTTCTGGGTTACCCCAGTTTTCCTTTTTTGTTATTTCAGATCTCCAATACCTAGCTAACAAATTCCCTATATTAAAATTCTCTCTGTTGAAATGTATGAGTTTACCTTGCTTGCATGTTTTCCTGAGGTAAACTTGATCCAAAAATCATGTAATAAATGCTAGCTGTAAGTATTTGACTGCCTTCCTTAAATATTAATTCTATATATTCCAGTTTCCAGATTCCACCCCATAATCAAGGCACTATGCTAGCACTGGAGATACCAAGATGAATTAGATAATGTCCCTGTTTTACAGGGGATTGCAATCTAGCAAAGATAATCAATGTATGTACAAAGTGCTATGGGTGGAGATGGGGTTCACCAAAGTCACAAAGGTAGGAGTTGCCAATTGTGTCTGGGGCAGGGGCTGAGAGTAGGGGATGGGATAGCATCATAGAAGATGTTATTGCTTTTCTTGCCTATAATGCACTTACTTACCTCTTTTCTAAGTATTTATGATCAAAAATAACTTAATCCAAATCTTCCATTAAGGTTTCTTTGATGACCTCAATTCTCTTTCATACTATCTTCTACTATGGGAATTCTTATAGTAGCCACAGAAGAACCTGCCATATATTGAATCACTTGTTCAGGCCACACAAAATGATTTACATAAGTAAATCTCATTTAATATTTATTTAACCCTGGCAATAAAACTATAATCCGTAATTATTATTTTTCCCCAAAGTTGGTATTTGAGAACACTGAATCCCAGGGGCTGGGGTTGTGGCTCAGTGGTAGAGCACTCACCTCTCACGTGTGAGACCCTGGGTTCAATCCTCAGCACCACATAAAAATAAATAAACAAAATAAAGATATCGTGCCCATGTATAACTAAAAAAATATATATACTTTTTAAAAAAAACTGAATCCCATGGAGATTAAAGAACTTGATCTTGGTCTTACAACTCATAATCAGAATTCAAACCTAGCTCTAAAACTCACTCCATTCCCCTACCAAGTACTTAATTAAATGATGTTTGGATCATGTGTTGGTGTATCTTCAATATTCATTTATTCCCTCAAATTTGTGAAAACACACCAACATGAACCTGGTAGAAAAAAGCACCACAGGTTTTGACTTCCCACAGGTACCAAGGATACACAATCTGAGAAGGGTCATTCCTTATCTCAGAAATATCACTCTAGATTCTTCACACTCTACAATGATCACCTGTAAGAAGAAATTCTGTTTGGTAGAACAGAGGAAAGCCAGGGCAGATATGGATGTGTAAACGTGTCAACGAGTTCATGGAGAACCGTACTGACACCATTTTGAAATGGCAACAGGAAGCAAGTTTGAATGCAGCAATACAACCAAACAAATCTGAAGGAGAACTCGTCCCATGGCAGATACGTAACCTAGTGAGTTATTTGTGTAGGCTTATGCAAACAACAATAAGGAAACATTCAGATAGATAGAAGCCAAGTCCCTGAAATAGGTGGATATAAAAGACCCACCAGAGACAACTTCGTAGAAGAAAACTCTTCCTTCCTTGGCAACGAAATACCAACCTGATCCACTGTCACCATGTCTTGCTCGGATTCCTGTCTCCAAAGATGCTGCAATGTCCCCACTAGCCCAGCCACCACCATCTGCTCCTCTGACATTTGCTGTCCATCTGAGATCTGCCTGCCCAGCACCTGCCCACACAAGATCAGCCTCCTTCAGCCCACCTGCTGTGACACCTGCCCCCCGTCCTGCTGCATGCCTGATGCCTATGTACCATCAAGTTGGCTGCTCAACAAGTGCCACCCTACCCCAAATTTGAATGGGATCTCTGTCATCACCTACGTCCAATCTTGTGAGTGTGAACCTTCTTGCTGCTAGCCAAAAATGTTTCAAAGAGCTTGCCCAGCTGAGCATAATGGTGCACACCTGTATTTCCAGAGACTGGGGAGGCCGAGGCTAGAGTTTCATAAGTTGGAGTCCAACCTCAGCAATTTAGTGAGGTCCTAAGCAAGTCATTAAGACCCTGTCTCTAAATTAAAAAATAAAACAACTGGGAATGTAGCTCAGTGGTAAAGCATCGCTGGGTTCAATCCCCAGTATAAAAAGAAAGAAAAGATGAATGAATTTGCCTACATTGCCCTAAGGAACTTCAATAATCATAAGAGCTGTTTAAGCAAATGTCCTTTAACTAAGCTCTATGGAAGATGATCTGAACTTGTGCCTTTGATTTTGAAGAAGTATTGTATCACAATTTTGAACAATGATTTCAAGGAAATGGGGGGAAAATGCTATCCCGATTGTCCTTACTTTAAAACTAAATAAACACCACTACTTGCCAAAACATGCACTGTCTTAGTGTTTAATGCTATAATTACCCGACTCTTGACACATGCATCATGAAGCCATAAATATACCCAGCAGAATTACACTTTCTGATGACATCAACATAAATCTCAGAGCCAAAAAGGAAATTGTACAGGGATACGTTGATATCTGAGGAAAACCACGTGGGTGACAAGATATGTGTTTTAAATTCCAAGGTCATCGCCTACTTTAAATTTTTATTTTTCTCCTGCCTATCTAAATAAGCTCACATGTGTCCTTTAAAAGGCAGAGAAGTTCATCAACATGGACATCAACATACTCACATTCTAATGTGTAATTTAATCCAATTCAATAAATATTTATCAAATGCCTACTGGGATCCAAGGATGGGTTCAGGTACTTGAAAGAGACAAGCAAGATTAAGATACCATTCCCACTTTCAAGGATCTTGCAGCAGAGTAAGGCAAACGTAAGGGAGACTATGGTACAGAGCAGAATGAAATAGATCTAAGTGAAAAGATGGGCAGCACAGTGTGTGAGAACAGAGAAAAGAATGAGACCATCTGGAAGGATTTCATGAAAGAGATAACGTGAGCTGAAGCTTGAGGAATGAGTAGGATTTGAGAAACAGGATCAGAGAAGGACATTTTAAGCCAAAGAAACAATCTGAGGGAGGTCGCAGAGGTAGGTACAAAGTACCTAAGAGACTCGCCTTCATTTCTATATGATGTGACTTGGGATAAATGCAATATTTAAGCAAAACCTAAACCAACTTAATTAACATGGACAGGCTCTTCTTACAAATAATGGATGACACTCACTTCCCGATGACATTTAGTATTTTCCACAGATATTTTTTCGGTCATCTTCTCTTTTAAACTGATCATATATTGGTTTTGGTAAGAGCCTCTCGGAAACAACTCACCAAAGAATCTCTACTTTGTGTTTATTCGATAAACATTTTCTATCCAAAAAATTATGTCATTTAGATTTCACTAACTGAATGGGTTTGGGCTGATCACAAGGAGATGTGGGAGGATGTTGGATTCATAGAATATCACACACTGGAGATTATTCATTCCAACTACCTCACCTGCCAACCACCAGGAAGGCACATCAAGGCCAATTGAAGTGAAGAATGTTGTATAAGGAATTCCTTAAGGAATTTACAGTGTCGTTGAAGATCCAAGAAATAAACAGGCTGAACAGGAAGTCAGTCCTGTTTGACAAAATGATTTCTAGGAATACCATAGTTCTCAACTGCATGGGGTCAGATCCCCTTCTAAACCCACTGCTACTCTGTGAAATGTGTGGCTTCTTCTTTCATTCCCTGTATGTATCTCACTAATGTAAAAATCAATGAAAATCAACATAGTTTTCTTTTAATAGTACTTTTCACAGAGGATAGCAGCTGGCTGGATCTTTCCTTCCAATGATTTTATACTCTGACTTACTTCAAGACTGGTGTAACTTTGAAAACAGAGACACTATTTAAAAAAAAATAAATAAAAACAGTAACACAATCTTTGGAAACTCAGTATAGATGTTTTTAAAATAATGAAAGTGAATTTAACCCTATTTCATTCTTTCTTCATGCTTTCTCACTAGAACCTGAATTATATCATCAGTAAATAAAGCAACTATGTTTGAGATGCATATAGCCAGATGAAATATTCATCTATATGTAGCCATATTCTTACTGACTTTATTGAGTTTAAATTGGCCCAATCAATTATTTGAATTGCTTATTCTAAAATTAGTAATTAGAAAGCACATCATGTTACTCATACTATGTGAACCTAAGGCAGAAAAAAAAAACAAGAAGACTTTAACCCCTAAAACTGTAGCTGAATTCTTAGGTGCACTGATTACCCACAATCCATGCAAGGTTTAGCATACCAGAACCCTGTGAAGATAAAATGTGATGATCTTGTGACAAAAATGACAAGTCAATGAGTCAAAAACATGATTAATTTAATAAGGGCAGGAGCCCTTAATTGACAAGAAAATACCAAACAGATTACAGAATTTAAATGGAAAAGAGTGACCCAAACAAAATTAAGGATACACAGCCTTCCCATTGGACGCACACCTTCTGGGGAGGTATATAAAAGCCTCAAAGTGAGAGGAGACATTTGAACCTCAGAAACCTCACCTTCCTAAGAGACCCAAGGCACACCTGACCCCCAACGCCATGTCCTGCTGTATTGCCCGCTGCTGCAGCGTCCCCACCGGCCCTGCCACCACCATCTGCTCCTCAGACAAGTCCTGCCGCTGTGGAGTCTGCCTGCCCAGCACCTGCCCCCACACCATCTGGCAACTGGAGCCAACCTGCTGTGACAACTGCCCCCCACCCTGCCACATCCCTCAGCCCTGTGTGCCCACCTGCTTCCTTCTCAACTCCTCCTATCCCACCCCAGACCTGGAGACCATCAACCTCACCACCTACACTCAGCCCAGCTGTGACCCCTGCGTCCCAAGATGCTGCTGACCGGTGGCCACTTTGCTCAGTGTCTGATACTGAAGGAAGCCCCCAGATGCTGCCCAGCCAGTTTTCACTTGCCTTGGTAGTTTAGCAGATGTTAAGGTAGACCAGATGGCCCAGATATGGAAACCTTACTTTGACATTAATGGAAAGAAAGCCAAGAAAATTAATTATGGTTATTTTGCCAGATAACCATTTGGTTCATTTGAGCATGTGAATGTCTTCTGTTATCATAATGCTATTGAATTCTTTAAGACTTAAAACTATGTTTTCTTCGTCATGTTGCTTCCTGGATCTTATTTCCTGTATTGAGTATTTTCAAAGAGGCAAAGGAAACTACTGGTGGGTTTCCTAATAAACTTTATTTCCCTGGCCACATGTGTTCTTTATTTATGTTAGAGGCTTTGGTATATTTCTTCCACTAAAACAAAATAGTAAAAATAAAGATAAGATGGTTATTTTAATTTTTAAAAAGTTACAATTAAAGGAATGTTTGGAACTAGCTTGCTAATATGGCTTACTAACTTTTAATTGGCTGTCTTCTATGTTTGCCTTCTCTTACTCAGATAAAAATAATTTTGGGGTGAGCCAACATTTATTTACCTGATTTTTACTAGATGAATCACATGTATTAATTCATTGAATCTAAAAAAACTGCAATAATAGATGAGAAAAATGAAGCTTTAAGAGTTATTCACCCTTCTTATGAAGTTAGTTACTAAAAAAAAAAATAGAATTTAACCCCTGGTTTATCTGACTCTAAAGCAGAATTCCTTCCACCACATACATCTTAAAGACTCTAATACCAAAGAAAGTTATGACATCAATTTAAAATATGCAAGAGAAATAAAAAGTGTAAGATTCTTTAACAAAATCTCATCCAACTGTAATAGAAAAATCTATATTGGCTCATAGATTAAAATGGGCTGCTTGGAGGCTGAGGCAGGAGGATTGCAAGTTCAAAGCCAGCTTCAGCAACTTAGTGAAACCCTAAGCAACTTAGCAAGACCTTTTCTCAAAATAAAACACAAAAAAGGGGATAGGAATGTGGCTCAGTGCTTAAGCACTCCTGGGTTCAATCCTGGGTAACAAATAAATAAAAGGGCAGGCATTCTGGGTGATTTAGTGGGCATATCTATTTCAGTTTCATTCTCCATTAGAGAGAACTTAAAGGGATCAACTCTAGTAGCAGCGCACTAGAAACACATCTCCATTTGCTACCATATAAGCACAGAAGTTCTGTCAAAGTTATCGCTAGAATGTCAATGCTTGTGAAATGGACACCTAGAGCTAAAACATTGGTGTAATGCCTTAACTGATTTCACCAGCCTACTTTAATTTTTTTTCTCATGCACATTATCTTTCTCTGAAACTAGAAAGTACACACACACACACACATATATATGATGTATGTATGTACAGATATAAAATGTTTATATGCAATACATAAGTAACATATATGTAAAATAATAAATGTAGTGCATGTATAATCCATGATACACACACACACACACACACACACACACACACAACAAACATATAAAGACACAAGCCAAAATCTGAAAAAGCATTGAGGAAAAAAATCAAAAGAATGTTTGTGGGGAGAAACAAAGACAAGGCAAGGAAGAGGCAAAGCAAACACTTTTAAATAAACACATTTTTAAATGTCCTTGAAGTGACTGTCAATCTTTTCAGAGACGGATTACTCTGAGGGTCTCATAGGTTCTTTGTAGCTCAACTTTGAATGAACGGAACTTAGAAGCCATGGGGTAGAAGAGACACAACCTAGGAAACTGCCCACAAAATGCTAAAAATCTAGGTTCAGTTCATTTGCTCAATCTTTTGGCCGATATTTCTTGAGTGCTTTCTCTATGCCAGTCCTGCATTCATGCTAGGAGTATAAACACAAAAGAAGTGCTATCACCTAAAGTGCCTTCAACTTTCTCCCAAATCTGGTGCGGACTGATAAGTTCCCATAAGCACAACACACGTGGACTATATAGGTCATATGAGTGCAGTTACCATGCTCTGTGATTCCTGATGAGACAAGGACGCAGTGGACCATAACAGCACACAGGAAGAGTAACCCAAACCCAGATTTGGTGATGCAGTGTCGGGGATGAGCAGTAGTAGGCAGGGAAATCCTCCAAGATGTCTCCAGGAAAAGCATGAAAAGGTGAATAAGCAGTGTGTGTGTGTGGGGGGGGGGGGCGGCGGGAGCCTCTGATCCGGAAAGAAGAGCCACTCAATGAATCACAGAGGCACTGAGAGCTTGGTCTTAAAGTACAGGAGCTGGGAATGCATCCAAGGGTAGAAGACAGTGAGGCACAAAAGAGAGACAAAGACCCCCAGAGCCAGGGGGGTTCAGCTGAAACTTTGAAACGATGAAAGATGTGAAAGCAAGAGATTACCAATTATATTTTCGCTTCTGTTTCTTTCCATAATCAATCTTTGATTTGTCCTCACTGTCACAGATACCACTACTGACTATAGGAAAGCATAATTGAAACTGCACAAGGTATTAGAGAGAGAGAGAGAGAGAGAGAGAGAGAGAGTGTAGATTCTCAAAGTGCTAAAAATCTACCATTTACTCAAGGATCACTTGTTTCTCTTATATTAGCTTAAAGAAAAAGGAGAACTTTTAGTTTTAGAAATAAAATATGTTTTGTATCTCTGACACATTGTTCAAACTTCCATTGTTAACCACCTAAAAATTAGCTCAGTCCTGACAGATCCTATATTTAGCTTTTAACAAGTTAATCAGCAGGCCATGAAAAGCCAATTTCCTTGCCTTTCTGAACTCCCTATCTTCATTTATAAACAAAGAAGAGTAATTCCCAGGTCTCTTAGACCACTGCAGAGAAAATGCATCTCTCTTTTTTTCTTAGGTTCCATGCATTTTTTATTTGACAAATGCATAATGTCATGTATCCACCATTCCAGTATCCTACAGAATAGTGTCACTGCCTTAAAACACCCCCTGCACTTCATATCTTATTTATTTATTTATTTATTTTCATATATGAGAAAACACATCTTAATAAACACTGAAAGTCTTTTCAATAAAAGAGATGAATTGATCAGCCTACACTTATTAGCTTTATAACTGTTTCTATCCTACAATCTTCAGTCTTACTTATAATTAGAGAAGCTTGATGTTCCACATAAACAATCACAATGCTTTTAACCTTTTATGGTGAGCCTGAAGTCATGTTGCATTCTGAATAGGAGACTGATATCTTTATCCCATGAAATGCTAATTGTGTCTGCAGGTCACTTTTCCTTTGCAATGTTTCCTTAAAATATCAAAATTAATTCCTTTTTGTTGTTGTTGTTGTTTGCTCTTAGAGCCCAATATTTTTCATTTTATAATGTTTAATAGCAGCAATTTATAATAATACATTATATGTGGTAAACCTTTCCATCAGACTATAAATTCCATGGGGATAATGTTTATTTTGTTCATTCTTGCATTGCCAGCATTTATCACAGGACCTGGTACACGGTAATCACTCAATAAATGCTTATTGAATTAATTTTCAAATAGTGAGTGAAATATTTATCAGTCCTGAGTAATAGGTTATGCAACTTGGCAGATATCCATGCAAAAATAAATTGGGGAAGTCTTGGGCCACCAGGAGAAGTCACGAATCTTCTCTTTCAAGTAAAGCCATAGGGAAGTTTTTCAAATTTTTTTCGATTCATTAATTTATATGCTAACCACTTTCTTTTCTTGTAGGCATGAATATTAATTGATTCATTTAGTTGATGTGCATTTTTTAGGTTAATGTTTCTTATTTCCTATAAGACTGTTCTCTTTGTTTTGGGGTTTCTGTTTGGTTAGTTTGGTTGTTTTGTTTTTGTAGTACTGGGGATTAAACCCAGGGCTGCTCTTTAGCTCTTTTTTTTTTCTCTTCTTCTTTTGACTGTTCCTTTCATCTTTACTTTGCCTTGAATTTGATCTGCAACTGACTTCATTGATGGTGATAATTTATTTTTTGCATTATGCTTTATGGTTATCCATGGACCTTAACCCTTTTTATCTCATGTGAACCTCACAATAATCTTCTAAGTGGAGGAATATAGCTATTATTGCTATTATTTTGCAGAGGGGGGGAAAAAGGAGATGAGCCTTTAAAAAGTGAAATACTTGCCATAACAAGATGCGGGGAGAGGACCAGTAGCACTAGGACCAGCGAAGAGGTCTTGTGGCTCCTAAAGCAGTCCTCTTGGGTCTATGGCTCCAATTGCAAAACATACAGACATGCTCACCTTCAGACCCTCACAGGTTGACCTAAAGGAGGAGACAGGAAGAATGGAGAAGAACCATGGCTGGGAGGGCAAGTGAGTCCAAGCTGAGTGGAAATGGTTTGCGATGTCAGGGTAATACTATCCAGGAGCTCATGCTCACTCTTAAACACTGAATTATGACTAAAGTCTAAATAATGCACTGGCGCTAAAATCCAGGTCTTTCTTCTATAGCTACCTGTGATCTGGGGAGAAAAATGCATTATATTGGAGAAAAAAAGAGAATGAAAATCAAATGTCAACCTATTAATCTAGCTCAGGCCCATAAGTTTGCTTTCCCTTCATCTCAATTTTACTTGAGTGTTAGCATTGTGGTCTTAAGTTATTCTTTCACTTAGTGTACATAGACATAAGCCAAAAATTCAATTTCCCCTCAAGGCAATTCAGTCCTCCATAGAAAGTTAAATGACCTTATGAAGGGTGTTTGAACTTACCTAGTTATGAAAAAAAATACAAATACAATGATGGAATTTCATTTTTTACCCATACATTGACAAATACTTTAAAAATATTAAAGATATAGGGAAACAATATTCTCAAACACAGGTGATGGGAAAAGACAAATAGGAAAGAACAGATTTTCAGAGCCATGGTGGAGAGTAGAATGGCAATGACTATCAGGAGTTGGTCTTTAAAATAGTGTGAATTAACATTTGCCCCTAGAGTTCTGCCTAGTAATTGTATCTGTTTCTGAAATAATCAGAAATGTACACAAAGATTTATATACCTGGTCATTCTCTATTGCCACAATTATCAGAGAGAAGACTTGAAAATAACCTAAGGGTTTAATAAAATGAAATTCTTAAGAAATTTACAATGATATGATGAATATCAGGAAGTATTAAAAGTAACATCAAATATACATGTAAATAGAAAATATTAAAAATATACATGTTTACATGTATATTTTCCATACAATATGCTTCCAGTAATGTAATAAAAGGATAAATACACATAAACAAAAATGATCTGCTTCATATATGTGTATGAAACATTAACAGGTAATTTCTCCTGATGATAAGATTGTGGATGAGCTGTTATCTTTATTGTTTATTTATGTTTTCCAAATTTTGATATGATATAATATTTTATGGTTAAAAAAACTAAAATGATGAATATTTTTTTTAAGTTTTCTCATATTTCTCAGTAACCTATCTCTCCATGTTAAGACAATTTTGATCTCCAAAGCCTCAAAGGTAAAAGAAGGTGACTAAAATTAAGTTTATCTCTTTAAAACAATAATTCTTCATTAAATCAGTTGATACTGATAAAGGTACAGAAAATAAAAACTTAATAGCAGCACAGAAAAAAACACACATGCTGCAGATTATGATCATGCCATGTCCCCAGCAGGCGGGTGTTGGAATTATAGTACTGAAGCATCTGGTGAGACCTCATAAAGCTGTGTTCGAGTGACAAATAGCAAGAGTAATCAGTTCATATTTAGCAATGAACTCAAATAAAAGTTAATTAAGACAATAGGGACTCTTTACAGGCATTTAAATGTCAAACCAATTACTAGATAATGGGAACACTAACATAAGCAAGAATCAGGAAAGAAGCCTTCCTATTGGACCCACACCCTCTGGGAAGGGTATATAAGAGCCTCAAAGTGAGAGGAGACATTTGAACCTCAGAAACCTCACCTTCCTAAGAGACCCAAGGCACACCTGACCCCCAACACCATGTCCTGCTGTATTGCCCGCTGCTGCAGCGTCCCCACCGGCCCTGCCACCACCATCTGCTCCTCAGACAAGTCCTGCCGCTGTGGAGTCTGCCTGCCCAGCACCTGCCCCCACACCATCTGGCAACTGGAGCCAACCTGCTGTGACAACTGCCCCCCACCCTGCCACATCCCTCAGCCCTGTGTGCCCACCTGCTTCCTTCTCAACTCCTCCTATCCCACCCCAGACCTGGAGACCATCAACCTCACCACCTACACTCAGCCCAGCTGTGACCCCTGCGTCCCAAGATGCTGCTGACCGGTGTCTGCTTTACTCAGTGCCTGTCATTCAGAGAGTCAACCTAGAAGCTCTAGCATTCACCTGTCTCAGCACCTGCAACTAGCTCACTCTGCTTTAAAAACTGGAACGGGGCTGGCACGATCACTGATGACACTGCCACCCCATCACCACCACCAAAAAAAAAAAGTCAAGGGACTTTCAATAAACATGTAGCTACGATCCGGAGCCAAGGGCAGTGTGAATAGGTGGAAGCCTATAGCTTCCCAAAGTTGTGTGATTCCTCCATATTGAAGTGTACCTTTCTTTGGGTGTTTGGGAATTCTGTTTCCAGTCTTGGGTGGTGTCTTTCTGTAAATTGAAGGACTCCCTCATGATCATGGTAATAAATTTTTTGTCTCTCGCATAGCACAAATGTCTACAGTTACTTTTGTTTGTTTCTGTGAACTTATTAAATGTGTTCCCCAACTCCCAGTGTTGGCATTTGAAGAAAAACTGGGAACATCAGTAAAACTCAAAATGGTGGTAGTACGGACATACTTCATGCTTTTGTTGTCCTTTCTATTTTAAGAAAACTAAAGATGCATCTAAGATGGTCTGGTTGATGAGCATACTTTAGAGTATACTTTTCTTGACTTGTCCTCTCTCCCCCCAAAAAATGTTTTACGATAGGTTGGGAAAGACTAAACATGACCTGGTGACCAATTATGACAAACCAAATCAACTAATCCAGGTGACTTGATGTAATTATGAGAAAATATTCACAATATGGCCACGTTATTCATTCAACTCACATTTATCAAATATCTCTCATGTATCCTGTGCTTAATTGTCCCTGCCAAAAATGAGCTCACTATCGAGCAGGTTTGCAGGATACACCATGACCATTTATTCCTTCACACAGTTTACAATTATTTATTAACTGTCTATTGCTGTATTATAATGAAAAGTTTGGTGTTCTGTCTAGCAGTTGCATTAGTAAAGTGCTGTGGGACCACATAGTTGAGAACAATCAAGACTGCTGCCATGGAGAGAAAGGGGAAGGACACAGTCAAGGGCAAATTGATGTGAAGCTGTGTTCAAAAAATTTTGGAGAAGAGGGTATCAAAGAGAGACTAGATAATGGGGTTATGTCACCACCTAAGCCTGGAGCAGAGAAAGAAGAAAGAATTCAAAAGGGAACACTGAGCTCTCTGGTCCAGATAAGTCAAGTTTGATAAGTACATCTAATCTAGATGGAGTTTGGACAGCTGTTGTGAGGAGGAAGATGTCTGTTGGTAGGTGCAGAAGTCTGTGTAAAAGGTCTTGTGCAGAGGACTGAGTTGCATGTGTGCAGGATGAAATTCCATGTGCATAGCAGAGAGCTGCTGCTATGGATTAGAAACTGAATGGAGATACCAGAGGTCATTTTCTATTAATAAACATTGAATTTCCAGCCTAACTAGAATGGGAAAAGCTCTCCAAGTACCTCAAGCATCAACTGATGTTCCAGAAGGAACACACCAAAAGAATAGGATGACTATCTTGAATAAGGAACACACCAAATCACACCCACCTAAGTCTAATTAACACCAAGCCTGAGAGGATCTCGGTGTCTGTTTGTTTGTTGTGTACCAGAGATTGAACCCAGGGACACTTAATCATGAGCCATATCCCCAGCCCTATTTATATTTTATTTTGAGACAGGGTCTTGCTAAGCTGCTAAGGCTGGCCTCCAACTTGGGATCCCCCTGCCTTAGCATCCAGAGCCACTGGGATTAGAGATGTAGCTCTTGTGCTTGGTCTCAGTGTAGTTTTGATTTGCATTTCCCTGATTGCTAGAGATATTGAACTTTCTTTTCCATATAATTGTTGGCCATTGTACTTCTCCTTTTGAGAAGTGTCTGTAGAGGTCATTTGCCCATTAATTGGTTGGGTTATTTTTGTTGTTGCTGTTGTTTGTTTGTTTTTGTTTTTGGTGTTGTGATTTTAGAATTCTTTATGTATTCTGGAGATTAATTCTTTCTTGGAAAAGTCACTGGCTAACATTTTCTCCCATTCTGTAGGTTTTCTCTTCATCCTAACGTTTCCTTTGTTGTGCAGAAGCTTTTTAATTTGATCCTGTCCCATTGATTCTGTCCTGAGCTATAGGAGCGTAATGCCAGATTTGAGGGACCCCAATAGACCTCCAGGAGCCGAATCGATGCAATCACACAAGAGTCTTTATTGCAAGCTCGAGCCTGGACTCACAACTGTTTCCGACACAGCAGTCCCAGGGAATGAGTCCCGGTCCTTTGTTCAGTGAGATTTTATAGGTTTTGGGGGGATACTCTATGCGTCACAACATCACACAGCAAATCATTCCATACCGTGGGAAAATCAAACAACAACTCTTAACATTGATTAGCACATTCACTGGCGGGAACAAGTTGGGTAGGGATGATTGATTAGTACAAGAGGGGGGATTCCTTTGAACTGATTGGTTTAGGCCACGAGGGGTGTTGGTGCTAAACTACATGGTTTACCAACATTTTATCAACCACCATAAACTACTGTGGGGGTCATCTGGCATCCCAGGTATTTTCCCTGTCTCGTGCTGATTGGTGGTTGCTAGGGGGTTGCTATGGGTCCTCACCTAGCCTGACTGAGTCAGGGACACCTGGCCCCACAGATCTCTCCTGTTATTTGTAGATAAACAACTCAGCAGGGTGGGTATGTACCTAGGAGTGCTCTGTGGGTTTTTCCAAGGACAAGGGTCACACCCCCTTCCTTAGGACAGGCTTTGCTCTGCGGTAGAAGCTGGTTTCTCAAAAATGGAGTCACATCAGTTTCTCAGGAGTCCTGTTGAGGAAGCCCTGGCCTGCCCCCACCCGTTGGAATGTTTTCCTCTGTTTCATTCTAGCAGTTGCAAAGTTCTTGATCTTATTCTTAGGTCTTTGATCCATTTTGAGTTGACTTTTTTTTTTTCAGGGTAAAAGATGAGGACCTAGTTTTATTCTTCTCTCTATGGCTATCAGTCTACCCTGCACCATTTGTTAAAAAGACTGACCAAAGTACATTTTTGGTACCTTTTGTGGACAGTGTTTTTTTGTCCTACACCAATTTTCCTTGTCCTCTACTGTCGGTTTCTGTGGCAAAAAAAAAATATATATATATATAAATATATATATATATAGATAGATAGATAGATAGATATAGATATAGATATAGATATATATCTCAAAACAGAAGCCTCCATTAAGCTAAGTGGATATATTTTTAGCCAACATTTATTAATCTATTATATCCCACATATATTATGTCCCAGGCTTAGGACAAAAAGGCAAATAAGATACACCTGTCTTAAAAGAAAACTTGTTTTAAAAAAATGCATCAGGATTTTAAAAAGTAACATGGCTACTGCTATAGTAGAGGCCTGTGCAGAGTGATCTGGGGACAGCCCCCGGCTCACCAGGCAGCACCTCAGCTGAGCCTTGACATGCATGTTCATCCAGGAAACTGACAGCAGGAGAAAAGTGCCTACAAGCCTGAAGAGTGGCTGGAGCTTAGGTTCGTGAGATGGTCAGGAAATGAGCCTGGAGAGGTCAATTGGCCCCACGTTAAGGAAAGTCCTATTTGCTGAGATAGAAAGTTTTGACCTCCTAGGCCGAGAGTAACCAAAACTAGATTTGTATTTTAGAATAACGATTCTGGTAGTTGGTGGTGTTCTGAGATGAGAGCCTATTACAAATGAAATAACCATTTCTTTTTATCATGACCTTTCATGGCTTCTACTTATCTTCCTCTATTCCCAGTGTTCTCCTCCTCCAAGGGAGTTACACTCTAGAAACGAATCCTGGCCAATTTCCACTTTGCAAGATGAGCCTGCCACTATTGATCATTACCGCAACACGACCAAATTAATCAAGACCAAAATAAATAGTCCTACTCTGTTTTTATACACATACAACAACCAGTAACCACATTTTCTAATTAGAAGTTAGCTCGACAAAGGGAAATATTTCTTATTTTTGCCTGAAGTTATTTTAAAATAATACTTCACATATGATGGACAGCCAATACATGGGCTCTCTTCAAAGGTATTTTTCTTTTGACTCATTAGGTTACTATACAATTATTATTTTCTTTCAGAGATTTGTGATTTTCAAATGTTTTTGAATCCTCAAACTCACATCCTTTACAGAACAACATGAATATACCATGAGGCCCTGTAAAAACTTTAGCATGTGTTGAAATGTAAAGAAAGTCACTACATTCAAACCCATCTCTGCTCAATTCTAAGAGACTAGTTTAAGCTACCTATGTATGTTCATTTGCTTTCATTGCTTCATTTCCAGTAGTGGCTACAGAGAAATAGTGCTCAGAGTTAGGGTGAAAATTAAATTTATTTTGGCTCATAAATAAATTAACTTAACTTTAATAAATAATTTAACTTTGTCAGATTAATGGGGTTTTTCTTATCCCTTGTATAAAAGTCTTAGAGCCAAGTGTGATGGTGCATTCTTGTAATCCCAGTGGCTCAGGAAGCTGAGGCAGGAAGATTACAAGTTTGACAGCCTCAGCAATTTAAGAAAGGCCTTAAGCAACTTAGTGAGACCATGTCTCAAAATAAAAATTGTTAGAAAGGGCTAGGGATATGGCTCAATGGTAGTTAAATGCCCCTGGGTTCACTCCCCAATACCACATACAAAAAAAAAGTCTTAGAGATTCCAGAGGCAATTTTCCCTGTGGACTTTTGAAAATGAAATAAATCCACAACTGAAGCCAAGCAAAGTGAAATCAATTATGCTTTACGAAGATGAAATTCAAGAAAGAATGCAAAAAAATTGACATCTCAAGTCTCCCTACTGCCTAATCCCTCTGGATCAGAGATTTTATCCAATAGAATTGCTAGTTTGAGGAATTTTATCTAATTTACAGATTTCATTCCTAAGTTCCAGTATTTTTAATTTTCATAAAATTGAGGCCTTCATGTGTAAAGAAAACAGACTCCACATCTCAGCACATAAGACTTCTGTGATTTCCTTATCTCTGCTTGGAAGTATAAGCAGTGAGGTTTTCCCAGGGCACCAAAAGATGGTAACTTAGAATTTATGTTTCACTCTTGATAGAAACGCAGGTAAGGGCTGGGGTAATGGCTCAGTGATAGAGCACGTGCTTAGCACAAGCGAGTCCCTGGGTTTGATCCCCAGCCCCAAAGAAAGAAAGAAACACAGCAAAAATTAGTATAACCCATCTAAAAATGAGATGTAGGATATTGGGAGAAGGCAAGTTTCGGGAAATCAAAGATTTATCAAGACTACATGTCTTGATAACAATTTGTTCCCCTTAGTTATATAAAGTGACATTTCAATTTTCATACACAGAGTTGTGGTTCACACACACACACACACACACGAAATCCAGTACATACCTTGCTCTTCTACCATGTAAAGGACACACTTTATGATCACAAAAAGCATTTCAAGGTAACTGGTAAGAGTGATCATCTTCATGGTGGTAGCACAAATAAATGTCATTTGGTGAGTTATAATATAGATTTTAAAAGTAAACACCAGCAATCAATGCACAGATCAAAATCTGTGGGAATATTATTTTCCTTATTGGAAACAAGTTGTATCTCTAATTACTGATTGGCCAAATTTTCTTTCTTTTTTGTTCCTTATTCTGTCAAAAGAATAATGCCTCCTATATCCATTTACTGAAATAAGTATTTTATCCTAGCAGCACGTGGGGTAAGTCCTGATTTAGTAACCTAAGCTTATCCCTCTTTTATGAGGCATAAAACTCTTCCTCAGTAAATAAACAGCATAATGAAACGTTAGTATGAAAACTGACACCAACAGTGATAAAGAAAACATCCGGTGCGGTCAGTAAATACCCATTTGGGGGGGACTCTATAAAGGCCTCGGGAGGGAAGGAGATGTTTGGAGTCAAGGACACCAGAGTATTGCAACCCATCTTTGTTCTTCACTTCTGAAAGGATGACCTCCGATGGATCTGAAGGTTCCCCCAAGTGCTGCTCTTCTGAGTCCTGTGGCCGGGCTTCCAGCTGTGCATCTGCTTCCCCCTGTGTCCCCACTGCCACTGCTGGGGCTACATCCAGATGTCAGACGCCAGGCTTCCTGTCCAGGTCTCACCTGTCCATCGGTTGCTATTTGGCTGGGAGTTGTAGCAGCCCGTGCCTGGTGGGGAACTGTGCTTGGTGTGAGGACGGGGTGTTCAACAGCAATGAGAAGGAGACGATGCAGTTCTTGAACGACAGACTTGCCAACTACCTGGAGAAGGTTCGCAGCCTGGAGGAGACCAACGCCGAGCTGGAATGCAAGATCCGAGAGCAGTGCGAGCCAGATACGCCCCTGGTGTGCCCGGACTATCAGTGTTACTTCAACACCATTGAAGACCTCCAACAGAAGGTTTGGTGTCGCAAATCTCTCATGCTCCATCTTTCCAGACTCTTCTTTGCTGTATCCCTGCACTAGAAGAGGCTGTTTTATGGAAGTCAACCAAGGGAAGGCAGAATTCCAAGAGCTAATGGAGTACAGAGACCAGGGCACTGGACTAAATCAGTACACCTAGGTTTCAGCCCCGGTGGGGTCACCAAAATTGAGTGACTATTTTTTAAAAAAAAAGTCACATCTGTAGACTTGACCTTTATCATCTATAGGATGGGGGGAGAATGCAGTATATCTAAAATCACTTCTGTCTATAACACGGTACAACGGACACTGTGTATGTATATTCTTTTTCACACAGATGTCGAATGATGTCACCTAGTTGAATTTCATCTAGCAATCATTTTCTTCTTTTACAGATGAATTTCTACCATCAAGGATGGGGATAGAGTCATGATACAAACTACTAATAAAAAAAAAAAAACTAAGTTTTCAATTAGCAAGGAATATTGCAGAAAGTCTTAGATCATTTAAAAAATAAAACTTTGTATTTCTATATTTTGTTGCTAAATTGGCACTGAGGTTTTTTTTTTCTCCACAAAGTCACATGGCTAATAAGAAAAGCAGGCCAATCAATCGGATACCTTCTTACAAAGACTTTTATAAGATAATGAAAGGCATGATTGTTAAAGGAGGAGATATGCAGGTTTCAAAGAAGCATTTACTTACATAACAACTTACTTCTCAGATCTTATGCACAAAGGCGGAGAATTCTCGACTTGCCGTACAGCTTGACAACTGCAAACTGGCCACTGATGATTTTAGGTCAAAGTAAGTGGAATTTTAATTTGATAATAATAGAAAGATCTCTCTCCCCACCTGCCTTCTACCTCTATCTAGCTCTCCCCCAAAATGTTTTCTGCATAATATTTTTAAGCTGAGAATGCTTTAAAATCTTGAACGTACCATTATTTGGGATGTGAAGGATGTAATGGCGAGTGACTCCCGGGTCCCCTGCCTCACTCACTGGTGTACCCAACACTGTTCAGTGCATAGCAAGGTAAGTGCTCATGTTTTTCTCTTGCTATAACAGGTATGAGAGTGAGCTGTCTCTTCGCCAGCTGGTAGAGACGGACATCAGTGGCCTGCGTGGAATCCTGAATGAGCTGAACCTGTGCAAATCTGATCTGGAGGCCCATGTGGAGTCTTTGAAGGAAGACCTCCTTTGCCTTAAGAAAAGTCACGAAGAGGTGAGAAAATGGTTTAACTTTGTTACTCTGAGTCCTTCAGTGATATGGCTGAAGGACTCAGAGTAACAAAGTTAAACTGATAAGTTTCGTGTATCTGAATTATTTTAGTTTATTATTTATTTATTTATTTTTGGTACGAGGGGCACTGAACCACGGAACCACATCCCCAGCCCTTTTTTAATATTTTACTTAGAGACAGGGTCTCCCTCGATAAGTTGCTGAGGCTGACTTTGAACTTGTGATCCACCTGCCTCAGCCTCTCGAGCCACTGGGATTACAGGCATGCACTAACGCACCCAGCTTTATGTATCTAAGTTGAACTTGGGCAGATGTTGCTTAAACTGGACTAAAGCTCCTTGAGGCTCTCTCATACGCATCTGATCATTCCAGGTCTGAATGTAGATGTGCATCACTACATGCTGCATGACCCCTGGCCAGTTCCAGAGATAAAGACCAACTCCTCCTCTCCATTGCTTTTCTGGAGAGAGTGAATAACCCCAACCCCACAAGTGGCTCTCCTTAGCAGCTAGATGCCACCCCTAACTCCAATCCACTTGGTATGAAAATTGGGCTGATAATAGACTGTGAAGTCCCATTCTGAAAAGGGGATCAAGAGACATGCAATATTTGGACCCGTGTTTTTCAATATTCTGTGTTTTAAAACTTTTTTAAATTATAAAATAAATTATAAAAGAGTATGTTACCTCATATTGATGAAGTTTACAAATGAAAAACTGATGTAACAAAATATATTTTCTCTTTGAACAATGCTTAGTGATTAAGAACTAACCCTTATTGAGGGGCTGGGGTTGTGGCTTAGGATAGAGTGCTCGCCTGGCACTGAGAGACCCTGGGTTCGATCCTCAGCACCACATACAAAAATAAACAAGTGAAATAAAGGTGTTGTATCCAACTACAACTAAAAAATAAATATTAAGAAAATTTTTTAAAAAAGAAGAACTAACCCTTATTGAGACCTTTCTATGTGCCAGGATTTTTAGAAGTTATTTATATACTTTACTATATATATACTATATATACTTTATTTATATACTTTACTTTAGAAGTTATTTATATACTTTAACTCTTCCATATCTCACAATAACCCTCTGGAAAGGAGATAATTGTTACAGCTATTTTATAGATGAAGAAACAGAGGTACTTATAAGCAAAAAGAGAGTCAGCCCAGGCAACCCGATTCAAAAGCCCACACCTTCATCCACAAAAGCAAAAACCGAAATGGGATGGCATTAGTTGTCCAATTAGCTTTTTCCTCCCCCACCACTCCGTGACATCCTTTATTCCACCTCTGCTTTCAGGAGGTCAACCTGCTTCGAGGACAGCTCGGAGACCGACTCAGTGTGGAGCTGGACACTGCCCCCACCGTCGACCTCAACAGGGTCCTGGATGAGATGCGAAGTCAGTATGAAACGGTGCTGGCCAACAACCGCAGAGACGCGGAAGAATGGTTCTCCGTTCAGGTCAGCACCCACAGCAGTACAGGGTCAGCTTCCAGAGCTGTGCCTTGCTGGAGTTCTCTAACCCGCCCTGTGTTTCAGACAGAAGAGCTGAATCAGCAGCAGCAGTCCAGCGTGGAGCAGCTGCAGGGCTGCCAGACAGAGATACTGGAGCTGAAACGCACAGCCAACACCCTGGAAATTGAGCTGCAAGCCCAGCAAAACCTGGTGCGTAAGGCAAACACAGGGTCAGTTTTGCCCTAAGAAATTATGTCCTCTACCCAACCCCAGGGAGAGACAAACAGTGTGTGGGGCAGTCTGGATCTCCAATTTACAAGGATAGCATTTCCTCGCCTTTCCTAAGTACCACTGTCAACCCAGTTGGAAGCAAAGGTGACATGTCATCAGCTTGTATTGCCCCACTAATGTACCTGCCCTTCCCTTCTGGGCCTGTGCACAATCCTACAGCACCTCGAGAGATAGGAAGAGAAGGGAGTCAGGGCAGAGTGAGCAATTAACCAATTAAGCCTGACAATGGACAATGGATTTTTACTCTTTTAATCAAGGACAATTCTTCAGGCTCTCCACCACATCTAAAACAAAGAATAGTTTTCTAACTTTTCATCCTACAACTATGGCAAAGTTTCCTGGGATCCACACCTCAACTTGACCCTTTACTGCACCCCGCCCCACCTCACCCAAGCCACAAGAATACCACGCAGTCAAGGTCACAGGCATCAGTTCCAGTCAAGTACCAACCACAGTGTGTGCTACATTAAGCCCCAAGAGAATGCCTACGTGGATAATAGCAGGCATTCATTTGATGACAGACACAGTGCGGCTTACACCTCACCATAATGTTATAGGACCATAATGTTAGATTTCACTAACCCAATCTCAGATGAGGAAAACTGAGGCTCAAATTAAAAAATTTGCAGAAGTTTCTGCAATTCTTCTTTTTTTTTTAAAACCAGCAATTGAACCCAGGGGTCCTTAATCATTGACCCACATCCCCAGTCATTGTTTATATTTTATTTAGAGACAGGGTCTTGCTAAGTTGCTTAGGGCCTTGGCTACATTTCTGAGGCTGATCTCAATTTGCAATCCTCCTGCCTCAGCCTCCCAAGCCGCTGGGATTACAGGCATGTGTGAGTTCCTGCACTTCCACTTCTAAGAGGAAGCTAAATCCAAGGGTTTCAAACCCAGAGCCTCTTCTCTTCTAACCACATTATACCATCCCTCCCTGCCAGGAGTCTAAACTCAAGGTTTTCCTCCCAAATCCTGGCAATCTTCCTTAAGCTACACAAGGAAGTCCAAGGTGGCAGTAGTCATAGAGGTAGAATTCATAGCTGATGATTCTACAGGCCCTAGGTACTTCTACAGGTTCCAGGTACTGTTCTAAGTGCTCTCCACATATTATCTCATGTAATCCTCACAACCTTCCCATGAGGTAGGAACTTCACATTCCCCATTTTAGACAGAATGAAACTTAGGCTCCACGAAGCTGACGAATTTTCCTAAAGTCATAAAACTAGAAGAGGGCATAGCAAGGACTTGAAAACAGTGCCCCTGGCCCCAGAGACTGTAGACAGGATCCTCTTGACAATATTTTCCTTCTGCAGACAGAATCTCTGGAATGCACTGTGGCAGAAACCGAGGCCCAGTACAGCAGCCAGCTGGCCCAGATGCAAGGCCTGATTGATACCGTGGAGAACCAGCTGGCAGAGATTCGCTGCGACCTCGAGCGGCAGAACCAGGAGTACGAGGTGCTGCTGGACACGAAGGCCAGGCTGGAGTGCGAGATCAACACGTACCGGGGCCTGCTGGACAGCGAGGACAGCAGGCAAGTTCCACAGTCACTCATGAAATCTCCCTGAGTCACAAAGAGGCCAAAATAGACAATCCTGTTTCCCCCAAGGTCAGGCCAAGGTCAAACCTCCTTAATCTATTAAGGGTTCTGTTTTTGAGGGGGGGCAGGGATAACGAGGGATTGAACTCAGGGGCACTCAACCACTGAGCCACATCCCCATCCCTATTTGTATTTTATTTAGAGACAGGGTCTCACTGAGTTGCTTAGCACCTCGCTTTTGCTAAAGCTGGCTTTGAACTCACAATCCTTCTGCATCAGCCTCAAGAGCCCAGAGCCACTGGGATTACAGGCATGCACCACGGGGCCAGCCAAGGGTTCTTTAAAGAGTGAGGAAAAGTGCCTGAAGCTAAGCACATGACAGTGGATATGTCCTAAAACATTTTGATGTTCTAAAGCAGGATAAATTTTATATATGACATTTCATGCTGGGGGTATTACTTTGCCCGTTTTCCACTAAAGGGAAATCTGGAACATGCATTCGAAGACATTTGCAAAATAAAGAAAATATATTAAATACTATTCAACAGCCACTGCTGTGGTGAAGGTGAAGTACCATTCTGGGTCTTGCCATGAAACAGGTTTAAGCCGTAAGGAATTTTCTACAGAATGTAATTCATGGGGCAAAATGTAACATGTCTAAGTTACATTGTACCAAGATTTCCTTGTTAAGCCCAGTTTAAAATTGATTTTCCCCAGGCTGGCCTGTAACCCCTGTTCTACAATATCCACTGCAAACAACACTTGTGAGCCGTGCTCAGCATATCTCATTTGTACAGTTGAAAACTGTTGTGTTTGAACGTTAAACACCCAACAATGGTAGATGGAAGAATGGAAGCCAGCAGTGTCTGAGGAAGGAGATGGGCCATCCAGACCAGAAACACAAGGTCAGAAGGCTCCCAAATCCTGTGAGCAGCGTTGGTGTAAATTTTATCATTTCCTCTCCTTTAAGCGATTTGTGGTATTCTTAGAGCTCATAAAGCTTTCTTGCTAATCTCCAAATAAAATGTGTCTCATTCCTTTAACATGTAAGTACTTGAAAACAGCCCCCTGGCCTGAGAGACTGCTGACAGAAGTTTCTGCAATTCTTTTCTTCTTCTTCTTTTTTTTTTAAACCAGCAATTGAACCCAGGGGTCCTTAAGTACAGTTGGGTGGCTTGTTGCCATGGATATAATAGCCACTAGATGGCAAGAGAATTGTCTAAACCCAGTACTGTGGTTTGAATTTGCATAAAACCAGGCTGAAAATATGTTTAACTCTGTCAAATACAAATAGATTAATCAATGTGAAGTATTGCATGTCCTCAAAGACAGTTGTATGTCTCTGTCTCAGAGGGAATTTAGAAATAAAATATAATAAATTACATTTATTTTATTTTTAGTTGTAAAAGTATTAGGTTCTCCTTTTTTTAATTTGGCATATTAAGCTGGATGCAGTGGTGCACACCTGTAATCCCAGGGGCCCTGGAGGCTGAGGCAGGAGAATCTCAAGTTCAAAACCCAGCCTCAGAAACTTAGTGAGGCCCTAAGTAACTCAGCAAGACCCCTTCTCTAAATAAAAAATGTAAAAGAGGGTTGGGGATGTGGCTCAGTAATTAAGCACCCCTGGGTTCAATCCCCAGTATCAAAAAAAAAAATTTTTGGCAGGGCATATTAATGGGTAAAACATTCACAATTCCATTCCCTAAACATCCATTGTCAATATTTTGGGGAACTTCAAGTCCATCCTTATAATTGGTTTTTCCACTTAGTTGTAATCTTATTTACATATGCATACATTTTTTTTCACTTATGTTATCTAAGTATTTTTCAATCCTAATAAAAAAATAAAATTGTCTTGAGGCCATCATTTTGGTAGGCATATAACATACCATACAGTACACTGCTGTGTTATTGGACATTTAGGTTTTAAGAATAATTATTCTCATACATTTAAAAAGCAAAGACGAGAATTTTCACTTCCAGAAAGATGAAGTAGATACACATACATTTCTTTAGTCCTCTTCCTGAATACAATAAAAAAAACTCTCAACAATACATATAAAACAATTATAAGAAGAACTCTGGAAAGTGGATAATATTGAGGTTCAAGGAACCACACTTATGATGTGATCCCTGGATTTCCTTCCTCTTCTATCCCAAAGTGGGAGCTACAGAGACCAACCACCCAGAACCACCAAAAGGTACAGATGAAGAGAAAAAAAAATGCCCAAGAAGAGCTTTCTCTCACTAGCTAAAGAACCAGAAAAGAGGTCACCTAGCAAGGCAGAAAAACTTTAGATAATTGCCACTCTACCCAACCAAATACCACACACTGCCCCCACCAAAAAAAAAATCATTTTGCAACCCCCACCAGGAAAGGCCAAGGAAGAAGTGTAGGTTTCCATCCTTACCAGGCTGTAGCAGGGCACCCAAACTCCTCCACTAGAGTGGAGACAGAGAAGGCTGAGTGGAGAGATTCAGGACTTTCACTCCCACTACAAGATTCTGAGACCCACTGCCACCAAGGTATAGTGGAGACTCTCTGGGGACCTTGGACTTAATACCACCTCGAAGCAGTGAGGCACTTCTCCCCACTGAGTGATGTCAAAGGAGGCCTATTGGAAAGTCACAGTAACAAGGCCACACCATGCAGTATCAGCGGAAGCCACATCTAAAGAAGTAATGAAACACCCTGTCCAGCCCATCCAGGAATATTATCCAGGGAGACCAGGTGAGGAGCCTGAAGTCTATACCTCCCAGCAATAGTGCAGAGCACTCCCCTTGGATGTCAAAGGAGGTGAAGTGGAGGACCTGGACTTCTACTCCCATCTGCCAGTGTGAAGCAGCATCCACCTTCCCTTACCAAAGCAATGTCAGCGAGACCTGCTGCAACAGAAGACCGAAAGCAACAGCCAGAGTCTCAAAACCTGACACCGCAATATGCAGGTTTCTATCAAAAATCACTCTTCATACTAGGAATCAGGAAACTTAGCTTAAAAAGGAAAAATAAAAATGATCAATAGAGTCCAACACCAGGATGACAAGATGTTAGAATTATCTGGCAAGAATGTTTAAATAGCCATCATAAAAATACTTCAATAAGTAATACTTCAATGAACTTTTGTAGCAAATGAAAAAGTAGAAAATTCTCAGCAAAGAGGTAGAAGATATAAAGAGCCAAATGGAAGTTTCTTAACTGAAAAATATCATAAAACCCAGTCAATGGACTCAAGAGCAGAATGAAAATATCAGTGGGGTAAAAATATCAGTGAACTTTATAATAGAATAATAGATATCATCCAATCTGAAAAACAGAGATAAAACAGTCTGAAAAAAAAAAAAAACCTGAAGCATCTCAGGCAACTCCGGCTATATCTTAAGATCTTACATTCATGTCATCAGAAACTTTAAGAGGAGGAAAAAGAGAGTAAAGCACAAAATGGATTAGAAGAAATAAAGCCTAAAATTTTTCCAAATTTGACAAAAGGCAAAAACCTACAGATGCAAGAAACTAAGCCAACCTCCAAAAGGAGAAATCCAAAGAAATCCACACCAAGATATACCAGGACAATTTTCTGAAAACTAAAGCTAATTAGAAAAAAAATCCTGAAAGGAGTAAGAGAGAAATGACAACTTACCATAGAAGGTAACAAGTTAAATGATGGCAGATTTGTCACCATAATCCTAGAAACCAATAGGATGGGCCACAAAATTATTCAAGTGCTGAAAGAAAAGCCCTCTGAAAACATCCTTCAGAAAAGAATGATAAAAAAGATATTCTCAGGTGAAGAAAAGTCACAGGGAGCTGCCACCAGCAGACCCACCCTGAAAGAATAAATAAAAAGAGTCCTCTGGACACAAATGCAATGATGAAATAAAGAATATTAGAATATTAGGAGAAAAAATAACAATTAAAATATGAATAATATAAATACATCTTCTCTTCTGAGGTTTATAAATTGTGTTTCATAGTTGAGGCAAAAGTATAGCACCTGAAATGGTTCTCAATATATGTATAGAAAAATGTTAAGATGTTTGTATTAAAATGGGGTACAGTAAAAGGGATAAGGTTTCTGCATTTAAACTGATAAAAATACCAACAATAGTGCACTGTGATAAGTTATTCATATATCTTATATTATCTAGAGCAACTACTTAAAAACTCTATTCAAAGAGATATGCTCAAAAATACTGTAGATAAATCAAACTGGAATCCTAAAACATTCAACCCCAAGGGTAGGCAGAAAAAAGAAAACAGAGAAACAGAAACAAAAATGTAAGCATAAGCCCTAAATAACAGAGATTACAATAAATAGAAATGGCCTAAATACATCAATTAGAAGGCAGAGATTGGCAGAATAGATGAAAAAGCATGACCAAACTGCATGAAACTTTGCACAAGAAACCCATTTCCAATGTAAAGATGCAGGTTAGAGGGAAAGCAAAGAGTTTGAAAAGCTACATAGTTGTTCACAATTAGCTTTATTCATAATAGAAGAGCCCCAAACTGGAAACAACTGAAATGTCCATTAGGCTGAGTGAAAAGGGGAAATCTTAAAGAGTCAATACAGTATGGTGCTATTTCTATAACATTCTCAAATGGCAAAATCATAGGGATGGAAATGAACTGGGTGTAGAATGAGAGAGGTCTTTGTACAACTGACTAGTTCCATATCTTGATTGCTGTGAAACCACATGAATCTACAAATATGAACACAATTATATAGAACTCAGCACACAGTGTTTCAATGTCAATCTTCTGATTTTACAATTGTGCTATAATTGAATAAGATTTAACTATTGGGAGAAACCAGGTACATGTGACATTTTGCTGTACCTTCTTTGCAACTTCTTATGAATCTTTATTTCAAAATTTAAAAGTTTTTTTTAAAAAATCAGTAGCAAACTAAAGAAAAATTCTCTTCATTTTTCTATTTCTATCTCCTGAGTACTCAGAAATAAAGCATCTAATAATAAGTTAATACAGTTTTAAAGCAAAGTTAAGCTTCAGACCTAAAATTGTATGTTAGATATTTTTACATATCATTCTGTTGCTCTAAAAAGTTGTGAAAATACTCAAAATAAATTTTTTCCAGATAAATAAACCCGTGAAATACTGTTCAAACACTATTATTCCACTAATAATTAAATTGGGAAAAAATATGATAGTACAGTGCTACCAAAATCATAAAACCCAGTCACTTGAAAGGTTCCACCACATAAATCTCGCAGGCATCTCTGCCACCTGTTCTCTTTTTTTAAATTTTTTTATTTGTTCTTTTCAGATGTACATGATAGTAGAATGTATTTTGACATATCATACATATATGGACTTCCCATTTTTGTAGTTGTACATGATGTGGACTTACACTAAACATGTATTCATATATGAACATAGGAAAGTTGGGTCTGATTCATTCTACTATCTTTCCTATTCCCATCCTCCCTCTCTTCCCTTCATTCTCCCTTGTCTAATCCAGTGAATCTCTATTCTTCTCTCCTCCTCACTTATTTTGAGTTAGCATCCACATGTCAGAGAGAACATTCAGCCTTTGGTATTTGGGGATGGGCTTATTGCACTTAACATGATAGTCTTCAGCTCCATCCATATACCAGCAAATGCCACAATTTCATTCTTCTTTAGGCTGAGTAATATTTAATTGTGTATATCTGCCACATTTTTTATCCCACTGATCTGTTGATAGATACGTGGGTTGGTTCCATAGCTTGGCTATTGAGCTGCTATGAACATTGATGTGGTTGTGGCACTATAGTATGTTGATTTTAAATCCTTCAGGTAGAAACTGAGGAGTGGGATAACTGGGTCAAATGGTGGTTTAATTCCAAGTTTTCTAAGAAATTTCCATACTGCTTTTCAGAGTGGTTGTACCATTTTGCAGTCCCACTAGCAATTTATGAGTGTACCTTTTCCCCTACATCCTTGCCAACATTTATTTTTGCTTGTAGCCTTGATAATTGCCATTCTGACTGGAGTGAGATGAAATTTCAGTGTACTTTTAATTTGCATTTATCCAACTGATAGAGATGTTAACATTTTTTTCATATATTTGTTGATCAATTGTATTTCTTCTTCTGTGAAGTATCTGTTCAGTTCCTTTGCCCATTTATTAATTGGGTTACTTTGTATTTTTGTTGTTAATTTTTTTTGAGTTCTCTATATATCCTGGAGATTAATGCTGTATCTGAGGTACAGTCTACTCCTGCTCTCTGACTTTGTCATGGTTTATTTTGGTG